TGATGCCCGCCCGCATCGGCTACTACGAGATCGACCGCACCATCGGCAAGGGCAACTTCGCTGTGGTCAAGCGGGCCACGCACCTCGTCACCAAGGCCAAGGTACTGGCGCCGCGGGACAGGGCGGCTGTGGGGCTGCGCTGTCGGGGACTGTCGGAGTGTGGCGGGGCCGGGAGAGATCGGCGACCCCCGAGGCTGAGTGTCGGGGACCGGGGAGACGCGTAGGGGACTGTCCGAGATGGAGGGGGGAGTGAGAAAGTAGGGGACACCGGGGGACCCGAGAGAGGGAAACTCCACAGCAGAGGGGGAAGGGGGACCACTGAGCACCGGGATCTGGGGAACTGAGGAAGCGTGCACGGGGAGGGGTCCTCAGGGCTGTGTGGAGAGTATTAGAAGGGATGGTTGGGAAGAAGGGGTTGGAACTCTCGGGGGGCCGGGAGACTAAGCCAAGAAGTCTCTGGAACCAGCAATTAAGAAATCATACGGGAATGAGGGCAGGGGTAAATGAAATGTGAGGAACAGGAAGACAGGGGAAGACAAGGGCAAACTGGCAGAGCCGGGATTATGAGGGGAACCAGGACGGCTGGGGCATGGATTGGGGTGTGCAGTGTGTTCAGGGTACCGGGAGGTATGAGGACCTGGTACCTGGTGACAGAGATGGGAATCCGCATTTGATCATCCAAGACTGATAGATGGTGCGAATGGGAGCCCGAGGAGAGACCCGCTTATTGGAAGAGGCAATGAACAAAATGGGGAAATAAGGGAGGAAAATTGCTTTTCTTGTCAGCAGGAAGGGGCCCAAGGAACAGCGGCCCAGGGGGCTGGGTTTATGGTGGCACTAGGTAATCGAGGGTTAAACAGTTTGGGAGAGCTGCATTACTGGTTATTTTTAGTTGATGGGTCAGGAATGGTGGGCTTTGTAGAACTCAGGGTGGGCTTTCAGTGGAGAGGATAAAGCTTGTAACTGAGAAAAACAGACTTTGGAGGAGTACACTCATTGGGCCCTTTGGTTCCCAAGGGATTTAAGGAGCTGTAGTACTGAAATTGGCCAAGGTCAGTTAGGAAGCCATATATGTATACATATGAAATTCCTTTTTTTTTTTGAGGAAATATGGGTAGCACTTTTATGTAGCCTTCTTCATTAGCAGTATGGGAATCTAAGGCATCAGGAGGAATCTTTTGTTTTTGATGGAATTCACGAAGCCCATTTTTACTTCAAAATTTTCTTTGCTCAATATGTTGCTTGAATGAATACTTTTAATGTAGTCATTCATTATATTTAAAACTGCTGTTTGTTTTTCCTCAGCCTGATGAATGAAGAACCCTTACAGCTGCTGCTGCTTCCTACCAAAGCCACATTAGTTCCCCTCAGCTCCTCAGCTTAGCCTCTGGTTATCATGACCCACCTTGTTTTTGCTTTTTTGGCAATTGCTTCTTTTCAGAAGCCAGTGACTTATCTAGGCCTTCTCTCCTGCTTATTTGCAACCTGAAGTTCCTCCCCTCCCCCACTTTCTGTCAAAGACTACAAGGGGCCCTTCTTACCAGAGTGGGTGGCTGTGGAGAATTGATTGGTCAGTTTCACTTCCTCCGGAGGGTTCCCTTCAGGCTTTTTGTCAGTTTTTTTTTAAGAGGGCCCCAAGTCTGCAGGTCAGAGCTGAATGAGATACTGAAGTTCAGCGTTCTCTGAAGTTACCCTCAGATCCTGAGGGTGAGTAGACTCAGTCAAGACTCTGGTGCATCTCCTCACCCCAGAGTGTTTCCAGTCCTGTTTACTGTTAGTCAAGCCAATTTATATTTACAAAAACATGTCTTGTTCCTTATTTTGGTATTTCCTTCCCAACCCTCAACCCCTTATAAGTAATCATATTGTGCTTCTGTGATTATTTTGCTCTGATCTTTGGGGGATGGACCCTGTAAACTTAATAGGTTGCCTGGTTTATGGTCTCTATGTTTTAAAGAATTTTGAATCGTCCAACAATCAGATACTTCAAAATATTGATAAAATCTGTTACTGACAGGTTTTGAATATTTTTGAAAGTGTAATTGCAAACAGTTGATTCTTGGCTTTATACGTAAAAGAGACATTTCTGTCTTCAGTAGTCAGCAAAGCCAGTGCCTAATTATGGCTGGTCTGCCCGCTTTCTAATTTGTGTGTGTGTTTCATAGTTTTTCTCTGAGACCTTAGTATCCTTTAGGACTGCAACATTTTAAACATTGGCTTGTTTATGAACGGGTGTCACTGTGTTGGTTTTTATCTTTGATCATTTGTGGTGTGCAGTTATGCAATTCCTATGTATGGAAATATTCAAAGTCTTGAATGAGACTGAAATGGCTTGGAAAGTGAGTTGCATGTGTGAAGGGACCACACCAGCATTCATTTGTGTTTCTGTAGCAGTATGCAATTTCCTAGTTACAGTTACAAGTGCCCTATCTTTTGCTACTTAAATTACTCTGATGACTTGAGTGAAGCTTAATTCACAGGGAGTTGTCATGTGCTCTGGGTGAACGATGAGCATATTTTGGCCTGCTCCATGCCTATCTGAGTCCATTTTGGAAGGGATTCTCAAACGCTGACAGCTTAGATGTGCCTAACAGCTGTTGACATACAGTATGATGGCCTATTAAGGCTATGGTTTGGTTATATAACGGCAGGGAAGGTGCATAGGTACTAGAAGTTGCAGAAGCTGATGCTTTAGTTACTCAGGTAAATAGATTTTTCTCTCCATGCACTGCAGTGTTTATCTTACTTCTGTAGTCAGGTCAGTTGGAAGTAAAGAGAGTGATTTTTTTCCCCATCTCTTTCCTGAACAAATCATTTTTTGTTCTGTCTTTTAGAGGTGTGTTATTTTTTTCTTTCTCCTTTTTCTCCTGTGGGTTATCATATGGCCTGGGTTTTTCTTATAATCATATATAATAACCAGTCTTAGGTCATTCAGATGGTTCTTGTGTTGGCTGAAGGAGGTTAGGTAATAAGTATTTTCTAAACATCAAAGAAATATTTATGATCACCTTTTCTTACACACACTACTCATTCTAAGGACTAAGAGACCAAAGTAAACTTAATATATTGACTAAGCTACTGTACTTCAACAATAAGTGGTGAAGCTGGCCCTTTCCCAAATTCTGTTAACTCTCAAACCGCTACAGTAGGTACCTGGGATGAATAAAATCAGTAGAGAAAAGGAAATGTTTTCCTATTTGGTTGTTGGTTACTTTTGCAGCACGGCATTCATGAGTTCAGACTTAATATGGGCAGCACTGCAGTGCTTAGAGCATCACTGCAGAACAGTTAACAGGAGAGAATTTTCATCTGTGACATACTTTGGTCAGCAGCTCACTCTGGCTGTTCTACCTGCTTTGATTTCCTTGGAAGAGTCTTAGCCTGAGATTCTTTGGCTCTGTTCTTTTGGTAGGACACTATAAAGTATTAGAGAAATTTTAAAAAGTATAGGTTTTCTGCTCTCAAATTGTTTATAGTCTGTTGCCTGAGCCTAATTATACCTTCACTGGTTGGACGAATATGAACAGAGTTAGATGTATTTTGTGTGCATTTTTTGAAGTGTACATTACTATAAAAGGCTTTTTTTTTTTTTTCCTTTTTGTCTTTTTTCGTGTCTGGCAACGGATCGCAACCCTCAGTGTCGCGCCCGTACCGGACCGGGACCGGCAACGGGATCGCAACCCTCGGTGTCGCGCCCGCACCTCGCTCAGCCAGTGAGCGGGAACCAGTCTGTATGTGGGATCCGAACCCTCGGCAGGAGTGCCGCCGCGCTTCCAAGCGGCGCACTGTAGCAGTGCGCCACCGGGCCGGCCCTAAAAGCCTTTGGTCAAATACTTTTAAACTGTATTTCAACAAAGGAGAGGCTACGTCAAAAAGTTCATGGAAAATTAAAATTAAAAGATTATTATGAATTTTTCTATGAACTTTTTGAAGTACCTTCATACATATAACACTTACCTGTTATTGGTTTGTGGGAAGAGCTTTTTTGGATAAGATGGCTTGGGTATGAATCCTCTCCTGCTTAATAGTTGGATGATATTAGACTATGAGAAGTTATTTAAGCTCTTTTTGCTTGGATTTCCTCATCTGTAAAATTGGATGACAATAGCACCTACCTCACAAGTTTGGGTGTTATGAAAATTAAATAATATATATAAAGCTCTTACAGCAGTGCTGGACATTTGGTAAGCGTATAATAAATGTTATCATCATTATCATCATCATCATCAACAGTTCATGAATGCATATGTCTGCAGTTTTGTGTAAGTAGATACCATCCTGATGATATGCTTTCATGGTAAAAAAAACTTTGCTACTATTTGAGGTGCCACTTGGAGATAGTTGGGTTTAATTCCTATGGAGTACAAGCTGGCTAATCTCATGAAATTGGTATTTTAAGATATAATTTTTCATTAGTTAAACTTTTTTTTTCTTTTTTTTAACAATTGTGAGGCTTATCTAATGAAAACTGTTACTGACACTGGCTTTTACTTTGGGCTGCCTTGAATTTTTAGTGTTTTGTGTAACTAATTTTTGTTACATTGATAATGGAACAGAGTTTGTTTAAGTGCAGTCTTTTCTGCAGAGATTCACTTAAATTGGGTGGAGAATACGTAGAAATGTTCCTACAAGCTTAAGAACACATTTGCATTTGTGTGCAAAGTGTGCTACTTAGAAGGCCAAGGTCAGGGTTCTTAAGTATTACACAGAGAAAACATTTCAAATATCGACCAGTTCAGGACACATTTGTGTGCTGTGTGGTTTAGTGCAAACTCATTTCCATGAGGAGAACAACTTATAGTGGGCTATAAGCATTATTTTTACCTCTAAGGAAAAGTTTAATGAAGCAGATAAGATGATGCTGTGTCCATTAGAAAGCTAAAAACGGGATTCATTATCAAGTAGAAGAGAGAATTATGTCAAAAAGAAATTGAAAGCAAGATTTACATTAGATACATTTGGGGAAGATAGTCCTGTACCAAGACAATCTAGAAGTGACTAATGAAAGATGACTAAGTTCATTTTGATATAGTTGTGGTGGGGGTGCTAACTTTCTTGAAACTTTGTGAAGAGTTAAGACTGATTGGTACTAGTCTCTCCA